CAGGGCATGATAATGTCATCTCGAGAAGAAGCTATGGGCATGCAAAAGGGGCGTCTACGGTCCTAGGTACCAAAGCAGTCAAGAAGTACTTATTACTATAAGTTATAGAACAGAAAAAAGAACCAGTATCATTAGATATCTAATATTTTATTATGTAATATATAATAATTAATATATATATATTAGATATCTAATGAATTCTAATGATAATGTTTTTTCTGTTCTTGTGTGAGAACCCCACCAACAGAAAACCAAACCAAAAACCTACAAAAACCATGCATACGGGACTGCCGTTACAACAACTTCAAAAGTTGCCGTTTCCAACATTGAAGCCTTTAGGTGGGCAAGCCCATGCCGTGCTGCCCTGGGCCTCCCCTTACGCTGGCTGGCCCCCTTGGGCGACACCCGCGGCTGGACAACCGAGGTGCAGGAGTCATCGGTTCCATCTCCTCGTCGCGCGGTCCCGTCGGGCCAGCGACGGCGCCCGCGCGCCGCAAGACGGGCGCGGTGCCGGCGAAGCCTCGGCGAGAGGACAGTGCGCGGGCGTCGTCTTTGGCTGTTTTGGTCCTGGAAGTCGGAAGGGTGTCTGTTTCGCCTAAGCTGGCGTAAGGGAGAAAGGGTAAAGAGAAGTACTGCACTCCATCAAATGTTACATACCATGGACATGGATATGGATATGCAAGAGAGGGACCCGGACCTTCCAACTATGCCCAATGTCTGCCTTTCGGTTGTTTTTTGCACTTTATACATTTATTACGTATTACAGTTGGAAGATCCAGGGTTGGAGATATAGACTTCCTTGCGCAAACGAGAAGATCAGCAACCGTGGATCGGACGTGCGCAAGCTCCGTGTTTTGGCGAGCCCCCCCGATTACTTGGTAAGCGTACACCTGTCACAGACCCGGCCTCAGCTAGAGAATGCCTACAAAGAGTCCAGTTGGGCAATCATCGTGTATGCGGCACCAAAAAAAATATACCAGCGTTGACCCCAAACAGTTTGTTTGGTCCAAGTCCAAACTAATTAGCGAATTGGTCTTGGCAATGTAGGTGTCAGGCACCAAATCATTGCTGCGGCGTCTGGTTTTGTGAACAACACAAGCAATCCCTTGCTCAATTTTTAAACACACAATCCGCCAAAAGTTGTGTCGGCGACCTGGAGCTTTCTTCCCTTTCAATAATTATCTTTTTTCTGCCACGCTCATGAGTTTTTTGCCGATGATTTGACATCATGCGGGCGGAGCACCCACAACGGACTGGAGACAGTGGGAGACAAATGGGAGACAAGTGTAAAATCATGCGGCCAACGAACCCACAAGGGACTGGAGACAGTGGGAGACAAGTGTAAAATAATGCGGCCAAAGCACCCACAGCGAACTGGAGGCAACAAAAATAGAAGACAAGTGAAAAAATCATGTGGCCAAAGCACCCTAGAGGCACAAGTGGGAGACATATGGGAGACAAGTGTGAAATCATGCGGCCAGAGCACCCACAAGGGACTGGAGACAGTGGGGCACAAGCGGGAGATAAATGGGAGAGCACCC